AGTACTAAGTTAGTTGCTATTAATTATAACACAGAGAACAACAATGCCCATATGTATAACACAGAGAACAACAATGCCCATAAGTATAACACAGTAACAACAATGCCCATAAGTATAACACAGAGAACAACAATGCCCATAAGGTCACTCTAAAGTAAAAACTAAATAAACTTCAAATTGTAATATTCAATATTGATCAGTGATAAAGGTTTCTTTAGAAATCAGATGTTCGTTTCGTTTATTTCCAGAACATTTCAACGTTTAAAACTTACTCTTAAGTAATGGTTTTTAATGCTTGTTGCACAGTAAATATCATCAGGCTTCTCATCACGAGATGTGAACGTACTTAAATGTATATACTGCTCCAATACTTAGAGCATGTATTATAGCATAACAGTTCATCACAGAACCATTCTGCTTTATCTGTCCACTTACAATTCTTCACAGAACCATACTGTTATGGTTGAAAAAAAGAACTACTATTGTTATAAATAACACATTCAATTGCATGCCTATTTAAATATATTTACACATGGCTTGTGTGTATATCGTACATAGTTATAGCATGTACAACCCTGTGGTTATGGTTGACATTTGAATAAATATTTACAGTCTCATTCACACCTTTTGTTTGTTTCGGTTATTATACTTACATGTTCTTTGTTGTTATTATTATTAGCAGTTCGAATGAGTTACTGAATATACCAGAAAGTCGAGAACAAGATTCGAAAGATCCGGATATCATTCCTACCAAGGACGACTGGAACTGTAATTATTAATAAACGTCTATTTTTTTCTATTCGTATATCTTTATGTGAGCCACTAATTGTAATGCAAACAAAATATAAAATAGTACTCTATGTAATAAATCTTTCACAATATTTTTACCCCCTCCTGCAAAACGAAGTTTTAACAAATTATTTTTGTTTACTGCTAATTGTGTCTTTAGTTTTACCTAAAAGAAATAAAAACCTAAACGAACACTGTTCACCCGATTCAATTCGGTTTCACCTCTCGAGAACCCCCAGTGACACAGCGGTAAGTCTGCGGATTTATAACACCAGAAAACGAGTGTACTCAATTTTAAGGCATATTTGTCTGTTTGCTGCTCTGTTCATATGAGTTATGAAAGGATACAAAAGTAAAATATCACCCCCCCAAAAAAAAAATCCTTAACTTTTTACAAATATCCCAAGTAATTAAGTGAACAATGTGTAAAAAATATTCGAGGAAGATTAGAAAATATTTTGTCATTGTTTATTGTTAACATCTGGTGAAAATGTTAAGTAATTGCTACAAATAGGTATTGTTAACATCTGGTGAAAATGTTGAGTAATTGCTACAAATAGGTATTGTTAACATCTGGTGAAAATGTTAAGTAATTGCTACAAATAGGTATTGTTAACATCTGGTGAAAATGTTAAGTAATTGATACAAATAGGTATTGTTAACATCTGGTGAAAATGTTGAGTAATTGCTACAAATAGGTATTGTTAACATCTGATGAAAATGTTAAATAATTGCTACAAATAGCTACATGCAAATTGTGAGTGTGCATGTGTGCTGTACACGTGATGGCACACACATTATAGTGTGTAATGTCATTTGGGTGATGTAGTGTGAGTTGTGGTTATATACTAAGGGTTGATAAATTAGTCAATTAATTTAATTAACTACTTCACGCTAGAACTAGCGCATGGTCCCTATGCTATTGTTCTATTTGGTACACTTATAACTATGGTAAGTCTGTTTGTTAAACAGCTAGAAGTGTTCAACAATGTCAGTCAGTGAGATTGAGAAATTTGTGGTTTTGTGAATTTTTTTGTATCTGCTCTGCTGACTTTCTCAAGTGATTCTATTGACTTGTAATTTTGTATGTGGTTCGTTTATCACCTAAGGGTGTTTAAATAATTTTGAATATTTATTATTTGGTTTTTAAAGGTGTATATGAGTAAATAGTTTGTATTGCATCTATTGTGTATCCGCCCTATTCCTACTGTAAGTTCTACCGTACTTATGAAAACAACTCTATAGAAATCAGCTGTCAGTATAGTTGGAATTCAGCACAAAAATAGCTTTTAGTGACCAAAACCTGATGTTCCTATTTAATGAATTATCAATCATAGATGGCGTGATAAAGTTTACAAATAAACATATGACAATCTGAAGTTCAAATATTGAGTTTAAAATCAAACTAATTGTTAGGTATATGAGAGCTATGTGAAAATCCATCGAACTGTGAAAGTGATAAGTCCGCTTTCAAGAAAAGTTTCAAATATTTCTCCATCTTGCCAATAAAGGAGATTAAATTGCTAAAGCTAAAACACATTCAAACGACGTGACTGGGTTTACACATATCGATCTTCAGTCTCTAGAGGCTGAAAGCACTTCGAGAGGTTTGAAGTTCGTGTAAATAATTAGCCCGCGATTGTAGCAACGAAAAAAGTTTCTTTATTTGTTATGTGAAAATTTAGCTCAGATAATGGTACCTAAAATACCGTGAATTTATAATTACTTCCCAAATGTTTGTCCTATTTAGATGGTATCGGTTGTTAAGCTGACTCATACGTCATAATACCGGACATTGGGGATCTGTTTACACTAATGATATCATAATACCGGACATTGAAGATCTGTTTACATTAATGATGTCATAATACCGGACATTGAAGTTCTGTTTACACTAATGATGTCAGAATACCGGACATTGGAGATCTGTTTACACTAATGATATCATAATACCGGACATTGAAGATCTGTTTACACTAATGATATCATAATACCGGACATTGAAGATCTGTTTACACTAATGATGTCAGAATACCGGACATTGAAGATCTGTTTACACTAATGATGTCAGAATACCGGACATTGAAGATCTGTTTACACTAATGATATCATAATACCGGACATTGAAGATCTGTTTACACTAATGATATCATAATACCGGACATTGAAGATCTGTTTACACTAATGATATCATTTTCCTCACGAGAATCTCAATCTAATAAAATGAGAAGCTGTACACTTTGGTTTTTGTTTGATAGTTTTCTATCACTGTTTGAATGGAATACAGATTTGTTATCAGTACAAGACTGGGTTCATTCAGCTTATTCACACAAGTGAACAGTATTGTCTACATGAACAAAGTATTAGAACATTGCTTCAAGTCAAAAGATTACTTGGAATTCAAACATTCATTAAGGTTGGTTTTGATTGTTACAGTGGACTTGTTTAAGAATTTCTGTTGAACAGTATAAAGTTAAATATCATTAAACTTATAATTGACTTATTTCACAATGTCTGTTGAACAGTATAAAGTTAGATGTCATTAAAGTTGCTGTTGATTGTTGCAGTGAACTTATTTCACAATGTCTGTTGAACAGTATAAAGTTAGATGTCATTAAAGTTGCTGTTGATTGTTGCAATGGACTTACTTCACAATGTCTGTTGAACAGTATAAAGTTAGATGCTATTAAAGTTACTGTTGATTGTTACAATGGACTTACTTCACAATGTCTGTTGAACAGTATAAAGTTAGATGTCATTAAAGTTGCTGTTGACTGTTGTAGTGGACTTATTTAAGAATTTCAGTTGAACAGTATAAAGTTAGATGCCATTAAAGTTACTGTTGATTGTTACAATGGACTTACTTCACAATGTCTGTTGAACAGTATAAAGTTAGATGCCATTAAAGTTACTGTTGATTGTTACAATGGACTTACTTCACAATGTCTGTTGAACAGTATAAAGTTAGATGTCATTAAAGTTACTGTTGATTGTTACAATGGACTTACTTCACAATGTCTGTTGAACAGTATAAAGTTAGATGTCATTAAAGTTACTGTTGATTATTACAATGGACTTACTTCACAATGTTTGTTGAACAGTATAAAGTTAGATGTCATTAAAGTTGCTGTTGATTGTTGCAGTGGACTTACTTCACAATGTCTGTTGAACAGTATAAAGTTAGATGCCATTAAAGTTACTGTTGATTGTTACAATGGACTTACTTCACAATGTCGGTTGAACAGTATAAAGTTAGATGCCATTAAAGTTACTGTTGATTGTTACAGTGAACTTATTTCACAATGTCTGTTGAACAGTATAAAGTTAGATGTCATTAAAGTTGCTGTTGATTGTTGCAGTGGACTTTATTTCACAATAGTAAAAGTGTAATAGTTATATAATTTGTGTCTTATTATACTGAAAGATATCTTACTATCAATACGTCTGCTATCTATAATTCAGAACATTTTAAGTGGTGTTTAAGTATATCGCGATACTGGAAAATATTTCTAAAAACAATATTTTGTTTCCTGTTCTCAATAAAAAAAAACGCATATCGATAACGATAAGAAATGATTTATGAAGATAATTAAAAACTGTATCTGTATATCTGTTTTTCTAGTATTTTGACCCAGTTTCTGAATATCTCTACAGACTTACCCAAACGAAAACAAGACAAGAGTTTCTGTGAGGTTCTAGTTCCACCAGAACGAAGTGCAACGATCCACACACGACAACAAAACTGTACTGGAGTACCTGAAGAGTCAGCGAGTAATAATACATTAGTTTTGCAGGTAGAAGTGGTTTATATATTGATAATTATAGGTTATAAAGTGCCAATAGCGATATAACTTAATGTGCGGTTCTAGTGAGTCCAGGAGGCACCTTTGTTAATTACTTGGCACTATAGGATAGGCTTCTATTATTTTATTCATATAATTACATGCTGCAGAAGATTAGCTCCGGCCAAAGCACGGGTTCTCCTCCCTCTAATTGTGTAGTACAAACGCATAACATTTGTCAGTAAGCGTCCCTGGTAGTGTTGCACTGTCCCTAATTCCTAATCATTGACCAAATGGAGGTAATCGACAAGTAGGAACCATTATTGAATATTATTTATCGTATTTTGTATTTTTCATTATTTTGTTTGATAACACTCGGTAACCTCTGTGAATAAACGCTTTTAATTCTATTTTTGTTTTTGTTTCTTTTTGCCTCCATCATTGACAAATGTAGTACTTTTTCACACCATCTGAACCTGGTTACTTAATCCCTTTTTATTGTCCAAAGAATTTTCTCCAATGTGCTCAGTCTCACTGGTGTTTCCATCCAATGATCCAGCCCCTATTAAACTCTGTTATTCACTTCCTGCCATGCCCATCTCGTATAGACCTGTCGGTTTTCTTGTAACTAGCATATATACCTTTACAATAAGGTGTTATCTCTCTCTTTGTTAGTTCTAAAAACGTTAAACATTCAGTCTGTTCATCTTCCTTGACCTACCTCACAATTAATATTCGTTTCATATTTCTTGCCAGTTTTTAAAATTGGTTTGGAATAATGGGGTCTGTTGGATCATATTGCTGACACACATTGTCCTAAGTTGTTTGCTTACTGTCATCTGCTTCTTGCAGGAATTTTGAGGTAGCTTGATTAAATTATATTTTCATTTATTTCATCTCATTTTCTCTTTTATTACATTACATTGTCTTAGTGTGTGTTTTAATGGGATAAATCTTGTCTTTGTGTGTGTTTTAATGGGATAAATCTTGTCTTAGTTTGTGTTTTAATGGGATAAATCTTGTCTTAGTGTGTGTTTAAATGGGATAAATCTTGTCTTAGTTTGTGTTTTAATGGGATAAATCTTGTCTTAGTGTGTGTTTTAATGGGATAAATCTTCTCTTTCCAGTCTTCTTTCACTTTTTCTGTCTTTCTGGCTCATTTCTTTGTTTCTCATAACCCATGAGTTATGGGCTTGGATCCTATTCTCTATTGGAAGCCTGTATTATGACTGGGTTTTTAAGGTGGCTCTTTCTTGGCTATGTACAATGAGTATGAGCTTGTAGTTATTGCCCATTAAAAGGCAGTAGCTTCTACTTCCACTGAATAAATAAAGCATGCGTAACAATGGTAAGGTCGACGGCTGAGTCACAGTCCCCCCCCTCTCTCTGATATTCATGTGAGGGTATCATTATTGTCTAGGCCCGGCATGGCCAGGTGGTTAGGGCGCTCGACTCGCAATCTGAGGGTCGCGGGTTCGAATCCCCATCCCACCAAACATGCTCGCCATTTCAGCCGTGGGGGTGTTATAATGTGCGGTCAATCCCACTATTCGTTGGTAAAAAGAGTAGCTCAAGAGTTGGCGGTGGGTGGTGATGACTTTCCCTCTAGTCTTACACTGCTAAATTAGGGATGGCTAGCGCAGATAACCCTCGTGTAGCTTTAAGCGAAATTCAAAACAAACAAACATTATTGTCTAGAGTACAGTTGATGTTTAGCAGTGCTGCCTCAATGGTCTTCTATTCAGATTTTGGATATTGTCTGTTCAGATAGAACTCTGGGAATAAAGTCAGCTTGAATCCATATTTACGACAGAATCCATAAAATTAGTCCACTTATTTATTTTAAAGACACGGAACTTGACCAGAATGTATTCCTTGCCAGCAGTCTTCAGTGAATCCATCAAATTAGTCCACTTATTTATTTTAAAGACATGGAATTTGACCAGAATGTATTCCTTGCCAGTAGTCTTCAGAGAATCCATCAAATTAGTCCATTTATTTATTCTAAAGACATGGAACTTGACCAGAATGTATTCCTTGCCAGTAGTCTTCAGAGAATCCAATACATTCAATACATGTATACAATTACCTGTATACATTCCTTATTCATCCTCTACCTTTTTCTTATGTTCTTGTCTTTCCTTCCTCTTCTTCCTCTTACTTCTTTTTTAA